CTAACAGTTCGCCATGGTTTTTCGATGGGCCTAATCGAAATAGATGGTTCACCTATTAAAAATTGTGATTTTCCATGGCTATGTTTGTCATAACCAGATGGTCATTGGGTTATCCCTGCGTTTCGCATCGTGATCTGCGCATCGTGTCAGGCAACTGCGAAATCATCCGCAGGCCTCCGTGATTCACATGGTGGCACTGCTTCAAAGGATAGGAAAATCATCAACAAATATGAGAAACTGATGGGAAAAGTATGGGAAAATCAAGAAATATGAGGACTTAAATTTGCCCATAGGCCCAAATGTGCACATTTTTGTTATATTAGTTATATATAGTTATATTGGGCTGTTGAAATTCGGCCTGAAGAGTGTTCCCAAAACACCCCATCTGTTGAATGTCAGCTCAATTCCCAGGACGGAAGGGTCCAAAATTCTATGACTTTTAGCGCTTTTCTTTTCATACGCTCCACTTACTTTTGGCACGTCGTGGGACTTCCCACATTTGCATCTCAACTAACCTGGAGCCCCAGAACATGTATTTTGAGAGGAAAGTCGACTTCCACCCCCCAAGCCCACCATGGGTCAGGGTCTCCATGCGATGTCAAGCAGGTTCAAAGATCTGCAATGTCGGCTATGGTGCACCGGGTCAAGCTTGGTGAGTAGCTGGACTGGGGGATGTGTTTTTTAGATCTCTTGTGTAACTTAAGTGCAAGTTTATCATCCAGCTCCAGTTGCATATACTATACATAGATCAAAGGTGATCAAAGTAGCACTACATGACTTTATGAAGAACTGTGAAAAAAATCAAAGCGGTATGGAAGTTCCTTTTTCTGCCATGAATATGAGGAGGTGTTTCGTCCATTTAGCTGTTGGATCTAAGGGAGCACCACATGTGACATCCAGAGGAGGCTGCTTGTGATACCTTATGAAGATTATGGACGGGTTCCGAGAGGTAATGCTCATGCCAATAGTGGTTGGCGAATGTTGGTGATTGCAAACCCTCAATAAAGCCTTCTGACCCGCATGACACTTCAATATTTTGAGTGGTTGGTGATTGCAAACTAGAAGGCTACAGGAGTTGTTTACTATTTTTTGGAATCACCCAAAACAATTCCAAAATCAGGGGTAAAGAACATCAGCCCGGATGATGGTTTGTAAGGCAGCAACGGCCAGGCGCAGATGAAACAACTGGTAGAAGAGCATCTTGACTGCAGCTGAAATTTGGGTGACGAGGAGAGCAATCCCATCATCTTAAAATCGGGCTACCCCCTACTAGAATGGATGATTTGGGGGTACCCCTATGACTTCGGAAACTACCAAATCTGTCAAATATCCATACTAAAAGGGCCCTTTTAGGGCCCTTTTTGTCGATGGATCCAGTAATGGGATGGATGGTGAAGATTGGGCTGCAAGCCCAGCTTGCCAAGGGCGTTGCCAACAACAATAGCCATACAACTTGTACAGTTATAAGTTGGTTTATACCCCCATTAAGTATTATTATCTATACTTATATCTATCATAAACCATAGTTAAGCCACTATCTCAACTTAGCTATCTTGGGGCCTCATCCTGTATGATCATAGCCTCGAATCCAGCGTTGTGTTTGCACCCATCACCACGTTGAGAAGCTGAGTGGAAAGGCTTTTTCACACAGGATGATAAGATCGTGATTGAAAATAGGATAGCGCAGGGTTTCACTGGGCGTTTAGACCTCAGCAATGCCTTAAGAGGTGGTCACATCAAAAGTTGGTTCCATTCCCCCACCCCACAGGATCGAATCAGATTTCAATTTGAACGAAGATCCCAAGACAATAGCTTGAAATCGTATGTATTGAATACATATTTATATTTATCTATTTATTCATATATATATATATACATATTCGGATATTCGTATTCTTAAATAATTAATAAATCATATAAATTCCCCTGTCAAGGTTATCTTGGAATATATTTTATTTAAAATATGTCAATATTTCATATTGAACCGCTATTATATATTTTCTTGAATGGAATATTGGAATTGGCAATATAATTAATAAAAATATAATAATTATTAAGATATATTTGGAGGTAAGAAAGGAAATAAATTGGGAAACTATTACCAGTAGTACCCCACAAGGCGGTGGCGGAAGTTTCAAAAATAGGAAACCTATAGGAGCGGTTGGTGGTTGTGAATCAGGGATGGCAGAGCGAAGCCACTGATGGACCGAAAGGTGCTTGAGGCCTCCTCTCTTTCTCTCTCTTTCTCTGACTATCTATCTATGTATCTATCTATGTATCTATCTATCTATCTATCTATCTATCTATCTATCTATCTATCTATCTATCTATCTATCTATCTATCTATCTATCTATCTATCTATCTATCTATCTATCTATCTATCTATCTATCTATCTATCTATCTATCTATTATCTATCTATCTATCTATCTATCTATCTATCTATCTATCTATCTATCTATCTATCTATCTATCTATCTATCTATCTATCTATCTATCTATCTATCTAT